CGTCGGCAGTTTATGTCGTTGATCGCGTCCCCGCCCGGTTGCATATAGCTCAAGAGATGGGATGCGTTCCGATCGACTTTACGGCTGGGGATCCTGCCGATCAGATTGTAAAGCTGCGCAAGGGGTCAGTGCGAATGCGCATCCTCGTCACTGCCTGGGATACTGAGGCAACCGGATAGGAAGATGGTCGATCGTGGTGTCGATGGTGAGTTTCGATTGTGTCTCGCTCATGACAGATCTCATCCTAGTCCCCAGCTGTTGGGTATCAGGGTGTGTTCTCTGACATTCCGATTCGTCTGTAAAATGCATACGAGCCCTGTCCTCAGCCAATTCCCACGATGGAAAGGGCGAGCAGCCGAACGCTGTGCTCGATGCGCTTATTCGGGTTGTACGTCCCACGGGCGGACTGGGCGTTCCCGGCCTGTACTTGCCGATTGCACCCGGCTCGGCAGACAAGAATGCTGAGCAGTGCGTGTCTCTCTTTGACCCACTTTCCACCTCTTGCTGACGTATGATATCGCTTCACTAGAGGACTGCTGACGCTGCCGTTCGGTAAGTGACGTCACAAGACAGAATGAATATCGTGTTGTCACTCAGTATATCACAGGCAAATTTTTTGAAAAAGGGTTGTCGATGGGCAGCGGGCAGTGTGATGTCAAAGTATGTATGATTTTTCCGGTGTTTTGCAGCTTCTCTGACGAGGAATGGATGATACAGAAATACAATCGCTACCTGCGGGACCTCATCATCTCGGGACGCGCAAAGCCCAGCTTCATCATTTCACATCACATCTCACTCGACGAGGCTCCTGATGCTTATAATAAGTTCGACAAGCGCGAGGAGGGATACACGAAGGTGTTGATTCATCCATCGCAACTGCGGGCGTGAGCGTCAATCAGACCAACACCGCTATAACTTTGTAAACTGTCAAATCAACTGACACATGTGCAATAATATATTGATTTATACACAAGTTACTCACCACGGTCATTTGAGGCCGCTCAATTCGAGTGTATCTCATGCCCCTGGGCAAATTAAGACGGTTTTTGCTGCTGGTTTAGCCGTGGAAAGACTGTGTGTGTCAGCATCAAGCTCGTTTCCAACGGAGCGGTTTTCTGAGATAGGCTTTGTGAATACTCTGCCACACTGTCCGTCTCTGGTCTGGCAACTAATCCTCATCTCCATGACGCTGGCCAAGACAATGGCCCCAGGGGGTCCGATGCCTTATCTCTTTCTTTACGAGAAAACACGGTCAGCAAAGCCCATGTCTCCCGGACTTGCCTTATGGGATAGATGCAGAGGCTTGTATTTAAGCCCTGGAGTATTGCTAAGAACGATCAGCAACATCACTCTTACAGTTCTATTGCAGCCACCCATGTTGTTCATCTCAGCTGTTCTCGGTGCGATCGTCGGTGCGAACGCTGCTGCGGTGCGTTTGTTGGATCCCGGATCGGTGCCGCGGGCGGAAAGTCTGATCGCCGTGGATTTTGCAGGTGACCTCGTCCTTCATCGACGTTGGGACTGTCAGAACCACCGCAGCGGTGATTTCGATCAGCCCTTCGGCTCCCGCCGTTTCTAGTGGAGTCATCACCTCCGCCGCAGTTCCTTTGGCACCCACGGGCGGATATACGGTGCTCGGTGTCTACACGACTTGCATTGCGGTGACGTTTGATGATTCTGCTGCGCCGACTGCTACGGGTGGCGAGCCGGTTGCTAGCACGAGTACCGTCTCTGGCTTTGAGGTCAGCATGATCAACTTGGACGCCTGAATGATCCCTGACGCTGAGTCGCGTTCCTTTGCTGTCTTTCTCTAGACCCCCTCTCTCTCTGTCCTCCCCGCTCCCACCACCACCGTCACCGGGCATGAAATTGTCTGTACTAAGTCCATCTCCTCACTGGAATCTCCTCCCGATTCTCATCTATCTTTGCACAGACCGCTTCGCTCGTCACTGCGCCGATTGTCAGTGTGACTGCGTCTCCGACCACCGCAATCACTAGTAGCTCCACTCGGTCTACCGTGCGTCTCTTTCGCGCGCAAATTCTCCACTCTTCTGACCCATGTGCAGTCAGCAGTACTCGGGAACGTGCCCGTTGTCTTCACCACCTGTCTGGTGTTCCTTCCCACCACTGCCACCTCGGCCATCAGCGGCAGTGCAACATCATCGCTCATCAGTGTGACCGCTGTGTTCTCGACTTCGATCGAGCTCGCGAGCGCGACCTCGCTCTGAACTGTTGATGGAGGACTGGAATAGCCGATCAAAATGAAGCTCTGCGGCGCTCATGGACAATTTACATATTGGACTTCTCTTGAATTTGGTCGCATGTGACGCCGCGAAGACGAACTTGTTTTTGTAATGCCGACGGTTTGGAATTTGTAGAACCATCGAGTATCGATTTCAGAGTACCTACCTTGCTGCAGGAGGTCCCCTTAAGTGAAGTGGAGATTAGGCTTACAACCTAACACAGTGTACAAACGCTCTCATGAACTGAAGAGAGGTATTCATTGGGGTCTGAACATGCGACACGTGAATCACCCACTGCCTATTCACCGCAATGCCTGGCGCACTGGACAACACAAGAGGGACTATCATGACCTTGACTTATTCTGGAGAGTACATGTACATTGTGGCCCATTGATTCTCTCTGCCCATTGGACTCCGAACGGATGGATGCCTCTGATACTGTCACGCAGAGTGTTTGCGGTGAAATATCTTGCTTAGTTGGACGTATTTCGATTATCACCAACTTGAATCCATCTCCGGATGACTTCGCTATGTCTTAAATTTGTAAGTAGCGACGTAACTTGATTGCGACCATCATTTTTCGTGTGCCTGGGTCGCCGTAGGCTTGGCTTTGATCCCCTTGATGGTCTGGAGTTTATATTTGATCAACTGGCGCAGGGATAGAATCTCCGCCGGACACCTTTGCGTCTCGTTACATACTGTACCAAAGGGCATACTTCCAAGATGAGTCCAACAGCATAATTTGCACTCAAACAATTCGGAAGAAAAAAACCACTTGGTGTCCTATCCAGAGGGCTATCGATGATGAGGGACCCAATGCAGCCATTACGAAAACTGGCTAGCATGTGAAAATAAAATGCCATCAGGCAGCATAGATCCTGATTCAACCTTGTCAACTCTCCAGGGCTTTTTCGGTGACGTTGAAAAAGCTGAGAAGCGAGTTCGAAGGTGTGAGTTCAGCGCATACTATTGATCGCAACAAGGCGGCTAAAGTGCATCGACCCGGTTAATTCACTCTAGTGCACTCATTTGTGCGATTTTCTTCCCGGAGTTTTTTGCAATCTATTTCTATGTATCTAAAGTTGAGTCCTGCAAATTACTACGTGGTTCTAAGAGGAACGGCTCGAGAACTAAGAGTGCCGAACCATCAATATCAGCATCCTGAACTTCTTTTGACTCGTTCTCGACCTCCCATTGCTCCGTTTACTCTGGGTAAGAAATGGCAAACATTCATTACTCGTATCTGGATGTTTACATGCTACGACTGTTGTGCCGGGGCAAAATAGCCTTGGGTTTGGATTCCATCTTAAGGAGCGTGACATTTGAAGCTTAGTCAATCATTTATGATCAAAAATCATGATTTGATTTCGTCGTCATTTTCTTACTCGCGAGTGTGCCGATTCGGCAATCGAGGCATCAGCTGAGATCATGACGCTGAATGTGACTATCTGTGACAAGAACCCTCTCCTTGGTACTGTAAGGCAATACGCGCCCGGCACGACCATCGTAGCATGTACACATCAAGATAAAAGTAATGAATGTTTGCCATTTCCTACCCGGAGTAAACGGAGCAATGGGAGGTCGAGAATGAGTCAAAAGAAGTTCAGGATGCTGATATTGATGGTTCGGCACTCTTAGTTCTCGAGCCGTTCCTCTTAGAACCACGTAGTAATTTGCAGGACTCAACTTTAGATACATAGAAATAGATTGCAAAAAACTCCGGGAAGAAAATCGCACAAATGAGTGCACTAGAGTGAATTAACCGGGTCGATGCACTTTAGCCGCCTCGTTGCGATCAATAGTATGAGCGGAAAGCCCTTGCACCGGCTATCTGATCGATCGCGAATTCACTGCTCGATCTGAACATTCAGATCGAATCAATGCCCCTTCTGACGGTGGCTACCCCCGAATAGACTGAAGTTGGTATTAGTTTAGCCAACACGTTAAGCGAGAGTTCGACAGCATGGGCTATTGATGGCAACTCCGGCATGACGGCAGATTCATTGACCTGATTTTCAACTACTTGGAACTGCTTACGGAAAGTGATTCACTGGAACCGCTCGGTAAATTTAAGACCATGCTTGAGTCATACGGAAAGGCATCCGCGCAAGACATTCTCGTGAAACATCTTACCATGTTGTGAAAAGCCATGCACAACTTGGACCGTCTAGTTCTGTATCTTTGCCGCTAAGAAGAACATGCGACACCATTGTCTGAAAATAGGCTTGATTGACATGTGCACAGACGAGTTCGTCTCCTCATTCCAACCGTTGCGAGCAAGTTTCGAAAAGCGGTCCAGGCGAAGATCTGTTAGACCTAGACATGTCGGTCTGTCCTCAATGACACCGGTAGAGATGAGTCGAGTGACAGTTCAATCTTAGCCGGACGGAAAATTCGAGCATTCTCGACAGGATTAGACTGAGTTGACTACGAAGAATCGATCTTCATGAGCAGGCAGCACAAGGTGGCGCGTCTGAGCTAAGGTGTCAACCGTAGAAATTGTGACGCACCGGTGGCCGATGATAAACTCTGCTCGACACGTCCACTCGAGGGCTGTGGGGATCAGTTCCAACGGTATGGGGCGGAGACAATACCGTATTCTCGTTCCCCCCTCGGGCGCCATCGTCCTCCTTCCTTGTGCGTCGGTTCGAGAAGATCTGTCAGAAAGTCGCGGGTTGGAGGCGGACCTTGGAGCGATCTTCAACCATGAAGCGATCTGTTCTTGCGACTCAACCAACAGACGTTTCGAATGCGCTGCTTTTATTGATGGTACAGGCTACGGATCTCAGGCGTTCTATTTCTACTGCTAAGTACAGCTGGTCCAATGCAGCTTCGGTAGCTGCCGCATGGAAATTCTAAAAGGGTCCTCCAATACAAACACGCGAGTTAAAAGTACATGTCTACAGTCGTCGATCGGTGCGCCCGGATTCAGCGTCTGAGGTTGTATCCGGCCCCACCGCCTCCGCCTCCGCCGCGGGCCCCGGTCTGGATAGATTCGTTTGACAGTCTGCGGGCTTGCATCGGCCGTCGATGGGGGCCAAAGGCTGGGCGGCCGCCCATGCCGGCGTCCGATTGGAAAGCAAACTGATCCTCTGCGTAAGCACGCTCGTCGTCTTCCTGTCTAAATCTGCGTGTGTCGATGGGGGGCAGGCCAGGTGGATAGGACGATGCCATGTGACGGTGGTCAGCGACAGCTGACGATGGGCGATACGAGCTGTGGTGCGCGAGGTGGAAGGGGGCTTGCTGATCGGCGGCCATGTCGTACCACTGGTTTGCATGCGAGTGTGAATGAGCGTGACGAGGAGGTGCCATGTGCAGAGGCGATGCCTCGGGTGAAGTAACGCTGTCACCACTGCCGTCGTCTTCGAGTTCGATTTTAACGGCATCCAAGTTTCCGAGCCGATCATCCTCCTTGATTCCGAGGAGAACATCCATGTGCACCTCGCGGATGGACGCAGCGAGCGGTGGGATGTGGGCCGATGAGCGCCATCTATTAACTTCCTGAGGCGCAAGATTGAGAACTGGCGTGGGAGGAGAGGAAAGGACGTGGTAACACTCACATGCCGCAGACTCTCTGTCTCCACAATCAAATCGCGCAAGACATGCGCTGTTCTAACACGGTGGCGCTGAGTAGCGACGACAGTGGCAATGCTGCGATTGTGGCATCAGAACGACTCGTGGGTTTTTTTGATGATGGCGCTGCTCACGTTGAGTTGACGATTTGCGACCGCGTGGGCCGGGAAAGACCCGCGAGGGGAGGGAGAATCGATGCGAGAGTCTGAAGAAGCGTCAGTCTCGTTCTCGTTAAGCTCCGGTCAAATCAGAGAATAGACGTCGGAAAGCAACCCTGCCACAAGTCGGTCTTCAGATAGAGCCACAAGCCAACATTCACATGCTTGCTTGTGATTCCAATCAATAGTGGACCATGCGCGAGCGCGAAGTTTGCAGAGTGTGGAGATAGTGGAGGGGGGACCAGACTACTCACCGAGAACTTGTCGTTCAATCTCTCTCTACGCGCCTTCTCTACGGCGTTATGCGTGGCCCTGCGATCCGGTGGATTTTGGGGCGCTAACCGGAAACGGGACTGCTGCTTTCCCAGATCGCGTTTTTGCATGTCAGATGTCGTCACGGTCGGTGACGTCGGCGAAGAGGATGAACTGTGCGAGGAGGTCGGGCGACACAGATGCTGTATGTCGTCGATGGGTGACAGCGGGCCGCCCACCTCAGGTGCTACTCCGGGGTGATCCATGGACAGATGACCAGGTTCTTGATCGTTGAATAGAGTGGATGTGTAAGGGCGAGAAGTTTCGACGGCCATCGCAGCAGCAGCGCAAGGACTCGGAAAGTGGGAGGAGGGGTGGCTGGGATCGACGGCGGTAACGCGGTGGTGGGTTGAGGACAAGGAGATGCGCAGCGATGCAAAGAATCTCCAAGACAAGCCCATGGTGTTCTTGTACCACGCCCACATCCGGAGATCTGCGTCGGTGGTGACAGGGTTTTTCCGGGAGCAGTGCCACCCGGATCAGAGTTTGATGGTGACGGCACATGGACCGGGGAGAAACCGCGACAGGAAATGCATGGCAGAACATGTGTTGAGCGGTTCGCTGTCAGGGAAGACGAAACCCAACAGCTTTTCGGTGCCGTCATCGACGCTAGGAAGTAAATTGAACACGACTCAGGCCCGGTTTGCTATGTCCTCATCCCGGCTTGACGATTTCAAATGCTACTATGTGCATAGATAGTGCCAAATTTCCGTTCGTCCCCGAGAAAGGATACCCGAGTCTTCGCTGAAGTTGCGCGGCTCGCGTTTTCCAATTCCAGACTGATGGACTTGCGCGGCTTTGATGTCACCCGCCGTCACTCCCTGCGAACAGGCAGCGCGGAGTCCGAGAGATCTTCTCTCCTACAGATCAGACAGTGCCTGTGATATTCTTTTCCTGGCCGGACCGTTCCTAGTGACAAGCTGAGTACTAAAATAGACCCAGACCACGCTGGTAACCTCGTCCCGAGTTCCTGATACATCGAAAGAGAGAGATCCTCGCTTTGCAACCGACATTAGTCGAGGCGGCCTACAGCGTGATTATACATGGGGATCCAGTCTTATCATCCTCGTTTGTCGTCAGGCGGACGGGAGAGAAGCCAAGCCCAGCAGGATAATAAAGAAGAAGGAGATGGACCTCGAGTTGCTTGACGTGGGAAAGCGGATTCGTGAGAGAGTGCTGAAGATAGGGCGCCGTTATGTGCAGCGCATCATGTGCAACTGCAGACTACTCGCTCCAGGTGGAGACAAAGAATTCTGCTGGGGTTGCAGATATCCCGTCGACGTGAGACTTTGCACAAAGTTGACCAGATGGCAGTGGAGCAAGCACACTGTCCGCGCTCTCTTCGTCGAATCCAAGTTGTGATCGTGTTCTTTCTAGTCAATTTTCGCTTGGATAGAAGAACATAGCACTCGCATTCGCGCACGTTCGCGAGGCTCACATCATTTCAGAAGTTCCCAGACGAACAAAAACCGCCGAGTGCTGATCCTGGAGAACACCAAGAGGCGGAGAACGGCATCGATTTCCGGTGTCGGGCGGCTTGAAGCTTGGACACTTCGACCGGATGGGCTCCTCGATACTGATGAGATAATGCAGAAGCTCAGAAGAGGGCCGACTAGTACGCGCAGCCGCGTTCTCGGCAGCTTCCATAGACGACTATCCATTGCAACGAGAGCTGAAAAGAAGTGATTCTTGCCGCTTGGCATACGTATCAGGGGAACCTCGGACCGGATCGATACGGCCCGGTTTAGTTCCGAATTATTGATCTCATGATCCCGATACTTTGTTCGTGTGTGGCTCTCTTTGCGCGTAGTTAGATTTTTTCCCAAACCTTTCCTCAAACTTTGCGACTCCCTGGGTGAAAGAATGACTACGAGGAGAGACTTTGAGATAACGATGTCAGCTCGCGAACTCAAGACCGTGACCCGACTCTCATTTCCAGCTGCTTCCAGGCACGATCCGGACCCAGGTCCCAAGGCTAGTTCGTTGCCTGGCCATCAATCTGGCCGCGAGCGGAACGACAGAATTGTAGGCCTGCCTGATGAGAGCCAATTAAAACTCACTTTTCTGCTCTAGTCGCCGTCCGAAGACCGGTCAGAGAAATCCCATTCCACTTCGTTCCTAGGCAGAGATGAGGACAAGTACGGAATAAAAGTGAGTGATACTGGATTATTACGGAGCTCGCGCTCATTCGATCTGAAAAGCAGGAGGAGACTGAGAGCTTGAGAGATCTGACCGGCATCCGGAAGAGAAAAAAGGCATTCAAAACGACTGATGATCCAGGCTACGAGTCTCCAACGGGGGAGAGGATTATACCCTCGCTTAAGAACTTTGAGAACATGGAACCAGTCCCGAACCTTGCGTGAGTGATCTGAGCTCAATGGGTTCGATATGTACTAGACCAATATGGCATAAACGCGTCAGTCACAAAGGCGAGCGAGCCTTCAATCGAGAGGGCCGAGCGATATGCCGTCGACTTCTGGATTATGAATGGAGTGCAGCAGACATTGCGCTCGTATTCTCTGCCTCCCTGAACACCATATATCGAATCAGCAGCAACAGTCTTTCAACTCCCGACGACATCAGAATGGACGACAGCCACATTGCCGAACGGGCCTTCAAAATGCGGTTTCCGGCGTTGAAGGAAAGTGGTACCAGTGATTTCGAGATCCTGGAGTATCTGACATTTTCTCAGCATCGATTGGCGGGAGTGAAGCCTGTTCTGCATCGTATCCAGCAGAGAAACAAGACTCGCAGTCGTCTCGACCAGGTTCAGGAGTTTCGCGCTTGCATGATGGGCCGTTTTGATTGACTCAATAGTTTCAGAGTAGTAGCTCCATTTCCAAGAGACGGATGAGACGCGAGGCTGACTCGAGTGACGAGGAAGAGGTCAGTCATGCGATGCGAGTCACGGCACAGGAAATTAGATTGAATTCCCATCTCGCGGAAGGAACCAATCCGGCCAATGCCCAAGCCCAATGCTGACACTACGTCTTCCTTGGCTCGTAAGGTGCGATAGTCCACTCCTTGATATCGTTGAACGCTCAAATTCTTGGCAGAGGTATCCACCGCAGAGAAGCCACCCTTCAGCCAAGCGCTCTCGCGAAACTTCGGTCCGTCCAATTTTGGGCCAAGGTATCTTGATGCAGTCCCTAAGAGCGCTGTTTCAGCCCAATCGTTCTAAAAAGGATCCGCTGGCGGTCTTTCTGGACAAAGCTCCAGGTATGGACAGTGGCACGGATCTCGATGCGCTTCAATCGGCCGGACTAAGCCTGGATATGCTGAAAGCTCTTGCTGACGGATACTCGAACAACGAGCTGCTCCAAATCTTTGTTGATGCGATGGGGAAATCAGCCTACGGAAACTCCATGGTCTTGAGTCCTATCAAGCTCGCCGCCCTGAAACACGCTGTCGCGAAATTGCGGACGGACAAGTGATGCTTGATTGCTGATGTGATGGTGCTCTTGCCCCTTTTGCATTGTCTTGTAATTTGAACTTGTCTACATCCTCACAATCATGTTCTGAATAGTCTTTCCTCGAAAACCGATTTTGCGGCTTGACAGTCTGGTTCGGAAATCAAATTTCGCCGGAATCGGGTCATGATCTGATTGATCATCAGCCTCGGCTTCGTCGCTGGGCCCTCCGAATCCCACGCCCAGGATGATCTAAATGACCATTGGTCTACCGACATTTGCCACTCACACTCATCATGTCCACCGAAACACAGCGCCGCACACGCGCGTCTCGAGGGACAGACCGGGCGTCATCGTCACCCTCGGCTGGTCCATCTACGCAGTCTCCGCACCAGACATTCAGCCTAACGTGCGGCACAGAGGTGCATGTGTCCGCGCACGAAAGCGTTCCCATGGAGGACATCTACGAGCCCGCGCTTCCAGGAGGTCTTTATTCCGGTGTGCGGATCCTCCCGGAGGAGCAGAGAGCGCCGAAAGAAAGGAGGAGAGTGCAGGTGCGCCGCACAGGGTGCGGCGCGCGCGTGCACGACAAAGCCACTCGGTGTCCGTCTACGCGTGCAAACTCGACGCTCGAGCCTCTCCCGACGAATCAGATTGTCAGCAAGGAGCTGTGGAGCGTTTCAGCGGGTGGGTTGGCGACCACTGTTCTGCCACTCGACCCCCACTACTTTCCCGCGGACGCCGCCAGGGAGCTCAATCTAGATCGGGGAAGCTCTACGTGCGGTTGTGAAGTGCATGGTGTCGGGTGCATGATGTGGTAGGCGTGGATTCATCGTCTCTGTGCTCTCGCTGACGTTGGGGCCACCCTTTTAGTGGCAACGCTTTAGGTGCTCTTCGCACGTTTTGCCATGTACATGCTCCCCGCGCGGCTCCAAACGGGTATGTCATTTGGCCAGGTTCCGTGACAGCGACGGCGAATGCGCGAGAAGCCCGACCTCATATACCGCGTGAAGTGGCTGGTGAAGCGGTGGAGTGAGTGATTCAATGCACGCGGATGCATCCTTGTGTTGACGGATCCTGTGATAAGTGCACGACTGCCAAGCGCAGATGGTCGAGAATTCCGATTGCCACCCGACCGCGACACGCGGCTCCCTCTGGATCGAGGGTGCGTCCTCGACTATCCTGCCTCCCGCTACATGCTCATGCTTCACATTACAGCAGCAGCACTTTGCAGGCGCTATTCCGACCCCCTCAGACCCCCTCCTCCCCTCCTCGACGGGGGTTCCTGAGGGCTCCTCTGCGTGCAATGGCGGTGTCAGCCACAGACAGCCTGCCTGCATCAGCTTCAGTCGAAGTTTCGGGACGGCCGCGACAGCCGGTTCGGCGACATACTCTACGCACCCAGAGCAGCTTCGAAGCTCATTTCGGCTCAGGGGAATCATCCGCTCCGGTTGTGGCTCCAGCAACTGCGCGCTCTGGCTCGCGCCGCGATTTGGTTTTCGGAACCGCGTCGCGTTCTGCAGATGTCGATGCCATGTCAGCTGAGGCCCGGCCATCTCCGGCCACCGGCGCTGGTCCACAGGGCATGCCGCCGTTGTCTGCGGGTCTATCTGAGGAAGGCGAAGACCGAGGCATCGACACTGAGGACGGTCTTTGGATGGATTCTCCTAGATCTGCGCAGCCCCGGATGCTTCTGGATCCCTACGGTGATTCGTCCTTCGAACGGATTCTCCGTGCTGCGCGCAGTCGCAACCCTTCTGGTGCGGGTAGCACTATCTTGATGGCGGATATCGATCCAGTCGCGGAAGAAGGGTCCACCGCGGGCCTGCACCGAGTGGGCCCTTGGACATCAATTACCATCGATGATCCTATGTTGCCGGCGCCTGAGCCTGGAAGCTAGCACATGGATGTGATCATTTGCCCATCCTTACTAATGTCGTCCATTTAGAAAGTCGCCGATCGAGCTGTTGGATGATTCTGCATTCTCGGATACGTGAGCAACCACCCTAAGCCTAGTCTTCGTCGGCACTTGCTCGGTGCGAGACTATCTCGACATCCTCTCGACATCCTTGGAATCGATCGCCGCTTAGAGTCTATGAACCTCAAAGATGCTCCGATCACGTTTCAAACTTGCCTCGGTGAACGTTTCCGCGCAAGCTCCCACTGGCGGGGAATAACCCAACAGATATGATTAGATAACGATCTGGGGGACGTAGCCTTGGGATCAGCTGTTGACGTCAACTCAACCATGGCACTGACGATGATTAAAGCTTCATTCACTCTGAGTCTTGGCACTGTTTGTGCTGTTGCTTCAAGCTGTTGGGATGCCTCTTTTGGTCGGGCTTCCATCCGCTGAAATGAATCCAAGTATTGCTTGTGTAGGCGGATGACATCGAGATGACTGTTAGCCTCCCCCAGGCTCATCCTTGGCAAATCGCAAGGTGCGCACCATCGGATGTGCTGCGCAGACCTCTCACTGCGAGTGGGTGTACTTGACTTTCCTGATTCGGTTTTGCGGGTTCTCCGGCAACATGTCCCTGAAAACATGCGGAGACACACGCTCGTGTCTAATCCCAAGCCTATATGTGGACGGTGGGAATGAAAGCTATTTTCGTATGCGCTGTCAACTGCAGGCTGTTGCTTGCCTTTATTAAACGCCGACTAACTCCACCTCAGCATAGGCTTTGGATGTGGGCTTTAGTGGAGCCAAGCCGGATACGCCCGATCTCAGGGCATGAGAATCTGGAGGCGAAGTAAAACCGAGTCTTGGCAAATTCGCGGGGAGTGCTTGGGTGTCTTCGAGATGGATCTGTCAGTGGTCAAGGTCGGACATGTATAAAGTCCGAATACAGTGGCGCACTTGAACCCAGGGAAGCCCACACAAATGGCCTGCTCAAAGTCGCATACTGTTGTGTCGCGCCTGACGCGGAACATCCACACGTCGTCGGCCGCCCGAGCTGCGACTCTCTCCGTCCCCCAGCAGCCTCTGCCCTTTACCATGCCTCCACCCGGTCTAGACATCTTCGACGCCCCAGTGCGTCTCAGGCGGCATGCCCCACTCGCCTCCCCGTCGATGCAGCCCCTGCCCTATCACCCCACCCCGAGCCGAACCCACCTTTCCACCCCGCAGGTTCTGGTGTTCTCCGGGCCTGCAGGCACGCGGCCGGTCCGCGTGGAAACGCCATATCACGACGAGAGTGCGGCAGCTCCCAGTCCCAGCCGTGTCGTGATGTTCGACGGCCCCGCACGCTCGCCTCCGCGATTAGTCGCTCGGCCCCGCCCGAATGGGAGTCGGAGGAAGGGCCACTCCGCGGAGTCGAGACTGAATCTGGTCGCAGTGGGCACTGGATTGGTCGCTGCCACCGCGATTGGTGTGGGGATGGCGGGCTCATGACATGTGCCATCCTCGATGCATTCTATCCTTTGTTTTTTTTATTGGTTCTTGGAGCGAGGCATACTATGTACTGAATTCAACGGTCAATTGTACATATAGACAGTGTGTATTAGAGTGTAGCAACGTTTTGAAGATTTTTGCATTCATCTCGAGAGAACTAACTGCCATACGACTTACCCTGGGATCACCCAAATTTCAAGGAGTTCGAGGACTCCCACGTGATTGATTTTATTATTCAATATGCGGCTCCGAATCGCTTCCTGGTAGTGCAGTTAGATTCTACGAAACACTTCTCCAGGTGAGTGCTGTTGAATGGTTAACAGATGTGATTCTGGCTTCCCCCGAGATATCATTGCGCTGTAAGTGGAACTACAATCACCTGCATCCGATCTTTACTCCGCAAAGTCCGTGAGCCAATAAAATTGCGCACAAAGAGAGAGTTTCATCAGGCATCACAGAAGCGGTGAGGTGCGATGAGGTGATTGCAGCGGCAGAGCCACCTGGTCCGCGGTTCAGAACGACTGTGGCTACATTTCCGTGTTCGACAACGACCGCATAACATCCCGGCTCGTCTAGATCACGAAGAATGGCAAAGAGAATGTCAGAAAGGGGATCGGCCTCATGCGGCGATATGTTCAGAAACAGAGCACGGGGATAGACTGGTTCGGATCCGCTCAGTCGAAACAGAGTTTGAGAGCAAACCGGGAAGACATTGTTTTTCACGCCAGCTGGCTGAAACTTGAAGAGAAGCCCCCGTCAGCGCCCGTCAGTTCGATAATCTCGCAGCCGCTTCGGTGATGGATCTAACCCCTAGCCTGGCGCTGCTTAGGGCAGCATCTCGCCGGGCGACGACAGACTTGGCAAGCACGTAATTCGCTTCTCTTTTAGGAGGCCGGGCGCAGCTCACGGATGGATCCTGTGGCTTGAAATCTGTAAGCGCTCGCCCGTATATTATCACGAGCTGTGGCCAAATCGGAGACATGTCCGACTTGGCCCAAACTCGTGGACCGGCGGGTATCGTATGTGTCCAGTAAATGACGAGTCGGCGCCAAACCCGGACTGCGCTTTCCGACAACGTCCTCCTGTGCTCGGGCACGATTTTGTTGGATCTGGAGAGCTGACCGATTATGAATGCCGATTGGTGCGGGAATCCGTAAGCGCTGACAGTCCTACCCCGGTTCATGTCATCCAGACTCGGGTCTCTTAGGAATTGCTCTGTAGCGCGGAGAACACCTGTTTTGCGAAGCATCCTTTTCCTTGATTATTGAAGCCGATGCCAGGATGAATCGGATGTGCAATAAAAAGAAGGGTCTCTGCACCGTTCGTTCATGGTGTCAATCGATTCCAATACTTGGCTGGAAAGAATTCACGAAGAGTGAAGCAGAGGACATCGTCGACACGAGCGATATCCTGCCGGAAAGATGTCTCGAGAAATCCTGCTGTCGCAATGTGCCTGCATCTTTGCCTGCACCCATTCCAGGGGCTTTCCAGAAGAAACGAGATTGCTTCCCAGAGTGCCAGCAGTGGAAGATCGATTGCCTCGGCTCAATCCACGCTCCGCCATCGATCATCACTAGAGGATATCTTTGCTATTGACAGGATCTAGGATTGAAAGACAGATGAGGGGATGGCTCGAGGACAGGTTTCAATACTGCCTGAGATGCTCGAGGCAGGGATCGGTTGACTTTGCTTTGAAATCAACGCTCGCAGAAGTCAGAACTGATAGTCAACTCAGTGCTCTCTCTCAGAAGCTGGAGGAGGAAGGAGGAAGGAGGAAGGAGGAAGGAGGAAGGAGGAAGGAGATTGAAGGAGATTGAAGTAAAGGCCCTTGAGAGCTTGTCCGCGACGGCGTGGACCATAATGTATGAGGATGATGCATGGATTGGCACCAATTTAGCTTTACGTAAGCCGGATCCGAGGGGCTTGTGGTCCCCAGTCCATCAGAATGATACAGTATGTAATTGATTGTCCAATAAACGGAGACTCAATCATCATAGATGCTTTGCGAAAAGTATTTGGATCAGCACCATCTCAGATATTTGCTTCAATAAATGGCAGAAGAACTCCAGAACAATGTTCAGATGAAGTCAAGCAGAATTTATCGAATGCATCACGCAGAACAAATTAAATCCCTCAAATAATATTTCGCCCATTGACCAGATATTCTCACAACCGGAACCAGACACTACGATTCTGGAGCTAAGTCAGCGCTTCGATCTCGCCAACAGGAACTACATGCCCTCGTCTCCCGGCCGTGTGATCTCGAGGTAAACCTATAGCTCCATCAGAACCCTCTCGCTGAGCTCATGAACAGCGCAGTTGACGCGCTTTCTATGGCCCAGCGCCATTGTCGCGTGCCGGCAGATATAGGTGTAGATCTTCGGCAATTTCATCTGTCCTGCGCACAAACCCGCATTGCGCCATGCACTGGGGACAGACGGTGCTTTATGCATTATGGATCAGACCCCGGCAAGCTAAAAACTCAAAACTTAAAATGGCATCTGCGACATGTCCGCGGACCGCAGCGGACCGACTGCTTGTTTTCATTGATGATTTATCAGGTAAATACACACCTTTCTCGATTATTTAAACTTTCCGAATTAATGACGTCTACTCGTTGTCGTTCGACCATCAAATTTCCTACATTATGCACTCCGCTTACTCGAGTTCACCCTACTCCTTGTGCGCGACGACGCTGAACACACTTCTACCGCAACCACTCTCCAGCTTCTGCCTAATGAAAAAGCAGGTGGACTGCTCAAAGCGGGTGTGTGGCCCCCCTGATCAAATGTTTGTGGAGCAAGGTCAGTGTCCTGACTTTGCTAGGTGGAGGGAAAGAATGGTCCAGTTGAATCCGCAGCTTGGCTTGCAGATACTGATCACATTTCAAAGGTATGCATATTGTATACCCCGAACGTTTGGAACTTTGGAAACCAGTTACAGTCGCGAATTTGCACATCTCTTTCCTATCATACATCACTTCCCACTACATTCGCTCACATTCAAGTTTGAGCCCTAGAAGTGCGAGACGTCGGCGGTAAAGACATTAGCGCCATCCAGGATCTCTTTCGGAAGCTGGGTGAAGAAATCTTGGAAGGTCTGGTCTTCAATAATCTGAAAAAAATGCATCAGCACACTGCGTTGTGTGATTGCATCCATGCTCACTGATTGAATCGCGGCTGGACCCTTATGCCGGAGAACTTGTAAGCACGGACACTTGGAATAAAGGCATGACGCACCGAGAGCTGGAACAGCCAGACCAATTGCGGTCGAGCAGAAGGGTATCCTAACTCGGACAGGTGCTGCTCCATACCATCATGCTGGGGCGTCGGGTAAAACTAGTCTCGAATATTCAGTTCTGCTCCTGTCGGTTGTTTTCATTATGAAATGCATACCATCATACCGTTGAGCATATGTCTCTTGAAAATCGGGAATTCTTTGGCTGTGTTCGCCAAAGCCTCGACTTTCTGACGCATGGCCTGCATGCCAGCAGGATCAGCCGGGGAATTAAAGATACCTGCGGCCCACACGCCCGAGTTGTCGAGCGAAGCAGTGGATTGGTACACGACGCGCTCGGTGGCGAAGACCGAATCGGAGCTCTTGAATCCGAACTCTTCCTCCGCAGCGGCGAGGTCCCGAGAAATCGAAGGATGGCTCAGAATCTTGACCTTGGTCAGCACACGGACTTGGAGAGGAGACAGGATTTACCTCACGGAACGCTTCTGTCGTCTTTTTGATAGGCACTGATCAGGGACAAGGAAAACTGACATAGAGCAGGAACATCTCACTTTGGCGGGGAGGATACTGATGATCAATGGACCTTCGGGTGCTTGGATGCCTAGGTTGGCGATCAGCGACGCCGCGTTCTCGTTTGGGTGTATCTGGGAGTGGGCGATCAGCAGCGGCATGGAGAGTTCTATGGGCATTTCACAATCTGGATTGGGCCGGTGATCCTATCCTTCACAAAAGGCTGACGAACGGCGTTCTGGAAGATCGCATCCACTCGTTTCTTGAGTGCGTCTCCAGGTCCCGCATCGGCGGCTCTGTTGATAAATACGAAAGTCGAGGTAGATTTTTCGGTAGAGGCTGGCATGGGAGGGAGGATTGTGTTTTGTGGGACATCGAGCCATGCCCGTAGGGCTCTTTATAGACGTGTCCCCGTCGGTCACCATGTGGGGGCTCTCGAGGGAAAATATCAGCAGTCGAAGGGCCACAAGCAGGAATTAGAGGAATTAGAACACAGAGAAGTTGAGAAAACCACCGAGAAAGAGCCTAACATAGATGGTGCGAGTCGGGAACCCTATGGCTTGGAGTCAATTGGGTCACGATTAGACGACTTTCGGAAGTTACCGATATTGGCTTCGAGGGCGCCAAGTTGAGATAGATCGCATGGGAACAGTTCGCGATCATCGGAGGCATTAAACAGACCTTTGGCGAGTGAGATCTGGGAGACCTGCTTCGATTGGTCTGTTCTGGTACGAATAGATTCTTTTTATGGGTGAATGATCAATCGATCGTTGAAGCTACTGGCACGCCATCCGGTCGGCGACTTCCCTATGCTGGGCTCTGCGGCAGATGATCTGGGATTGAATGTCTTCTTCTTATGCCCTCTGCAAGCAATTCCAGCGCAGAGAAAGATACATTGAAACCATTGAATTGTTTTTCATGCGGTATTCCGTCCATACATAATGGGCATTGGGCAAGGAAGTGATCCGTATGCAAATTCTGGCGATGTGATCCGGTCAAACTTGATTACACTGCCACCTGTCGCTGATGGCGCGCTCACTGCATATGTTCACCCCGCTCGGATTTCCACCGTATTCAAGAGATCTCCTAATGCCCTCACGATTCATGCGCTCGAGATCGATTGCAGGGCCTCTCAGCGCTCGATGCTGGATCCCAACTGGCTCAGTGAACCCGAACAGTCACCCTTGCACGGCGGGGCGGATGGACGGGGAATGGAGAGTGTCTGAGACACTGGGGTACCTTAAGAGGTCGGACGAGAACGCTCCTTCCTCTTCAGCTTTTTGCTTCTTCACCCCCATCTACTTCCACTTTTGTTACCTGCATTTATCCTCCAAACCTTCACTGCTCTTACATCTGCTGCGCATTGCTTCACACCGTCTTCTGCTCTCACAACATCGAATTCCATTCACCGATTTCTCCATAGCTTTTCGTCTGTTCTGTCTCTCCTCCTCCTCTTCCTCATGTCTCCTATCTCGTATGCCCTCCCTGACTTGACTGGTACCGTCGTTAACGCCGGTCGCCTACAACTCGTTCGTCTCCTCGGAGTGGGTTCCTACGGACGAGTTTATCAGGCCAAAGACACCTCCTCGTCCGAATCCTCCCCTATCTACTATGCCGTCAAATGTCAGATCCACTACGACCCCGCCACGTCCTATGGCAACATGCTCGACAACGAGATCGAACTGCATTCCTCCATTTCGTACGATGACCGGATCCTCGCCTTCCATCGTACATTCCTCAGCGACGACGACAAGTTCTTCTTCACCGTCCTCGACTACTGTGCTGGCGGGGACCTGTACGGGGCCATTCAAGAAGGTCGCTTCGACGGTAACGTTTCTCTGGTCAAGATCTTCATGAACCAGTTGCTCGATGGCGTGGCCTACATGCACCGCAACAGCACGTACCACCGCGACCTCAAGCCCGAGAACATCCTTCTCAAGTCGAGTGGTGACGAGCTGGACGTCAAGATTGCGGACTTTGGATTATCCACCCGGGTTGGTGTCAGCTCCCAGTTTGGATGCGGTAGCAGACTGTACATGAGTCCCGGTATGTTCTTTTCGTCCATTCTCTGCATTCATCGCTGACCGGTCTAACACAGAGAATCTGGATCGACTTGTTGCTGGCGGATCGTACTTTGCTCGCGACACGGATCTCTGGGCCTGCGCTGTCATTCTAGTCAATGTATTGACGTCTCGGTTCCCCTGGTTTAAGGCTGAGCGCAGTGACCCGGGTTACAAGGAGTATCTGAATGACCCGTCTGTCCTGCGTGACGCGCTTAACATCACCCAGCCCACGGCGGATCTTTTGAACTGGTGTTTCTCCAAGAAGGCCGCTCTACGCCCGACACTGGACGAGTTCCGAGACGCCATGAATGCTATCGACGAGTTCGTTCTCCCCGGCGACAGGACACCCGCTCCGCACCCTCGCTTCGAGATCCCTTCGCTTGGCTTTTGGCCGGCTGCTGGTCCTCCCCCTCCCCCGGCCGTCCTTGACTCCCTGTTTGCCTGTGACTGCTCCCTCATGTGCTCCAAGTGCACGCCCTCGGCAAGTGAGATCGCTTCTCTGCTCGCCTCTGACGGGTACATGCTCCCCGACGACCAACCTCCTCCATTCACCGCCGCCATCCGCATCTCCCGCCATGTCGTGGCTCAGACTGCGAGCAGCATGAATCTGTCTGTTCCTATCTATGACGACACGGATCTCAGCGCCGACGACGCCTTTCTCCGTGCTGAGCAGAACACGACTCCACCGACGTCACTCGCCACCTCTGCTGTCTCATGCCCTCGGTTTCCTCCCGGCATTCTTCTCCCCCAGACGATTCGCGAACCGCCTCGGTATCCGCCCGGAATCTCAATTCCCGTCGCAGCAAATCGCGTCTCGCCTCGGTTTCCTATCGGCGTTCAGATCCCCACGGCGAGTGGTAACCTCGCTTGCCTCCCGCCTGGTGTCGGCTGCTCGCGGCGGTCCGAGTCGTGGCGCTCCTTCGAAGACCACAAAGGGCGTTGTTCTCCGTCGTCCTCGACGTCAGCTTCATACTTTGATTCGTCTGGTGCGCACTACGAAGAAGACGACTTCGTGATCCTTCTGGGAGACGGAGACACCTTGGTATTCCCCAGGCCACCAAGCTACATCCCGGACCCGCAGATGAAGAAGGTACCGCCGTCTCGTCACGCCTTCGAGCAGGTCGAGTTTTCGCGGGCACGAGAACTCCTTCGGTCGTGTCATTTGCTATGAGCGGGTGCGCCAGCCGGATATTGCCGAGTCACGTGGGGACGATGAAAATGAGAAAATCACAGAAAAAACACGGGATCTTGCTTGCTGCTGGTTTTGCTTTGCTTCTTTCTCTTTCTCTTTTCCTTCTATTTTCCTCCTTCTTTTTCGAATTCGCAATTTCGTCTCTGGTTTCGGGGAATATGTTGGGTACTGGGTTTAGCTTCGATTCCTCTGGGTTTTATGGGACATCCGACTCATCTCGCTCTTCTCCTCCGCCCCCGTACTGCATTTCTGGTCTCAAGTTTCATGTCCCGGATTCATTGCTCACTCGCGAGAACTGGACCGCATCTCGGTGAGTCTGATTCGGCCTTTCATGGACGCGCCGATGGCTCACGTACAATTGCTCTAGAACCACGATGATCCCTCACTCTAGTGGCTCAGCTCGCGGTCACTTTTCCTCTCATCGTATGCATTTCTGCGCGCCTCATCCCTCGTTCATCGCCTCGCTTTTGTTTATCGTGTGCTGGTGGGGTCTAGGTTGCATTTCTGTCAATTTTTACCCTCCTCCACCTGAGTTCTTGCTCATGTTCTATCAGACCCATGATGATTCCCTTCGCGAAAGGCTCTCTCTGTCGACTGTCCTCTGGCTTACTGCTCGCGTTGCGTCTCGCCTCGCTCTCGGTTGGGACCTTGGTTACTTGATGTGATGGCGGAATCTAGGTCGCATTTCGGTCGGTCGTTACCGCCACCTGCACGGTTCATGTTTTTTGATGCTTTTCGACTAGACTTGAGATGGTTCCGCACGCCAAGTGCTCTTCCACGGCGAAACTTGACCTGCCCTGGTTCAATGATGGTCGGAGAGTTATGGTGGCGGGGTTTAGATTGTATTTCTGTGCGTCTTCATCCCTCGCCCCGCCTCATTCAGATTCTGACGAATCTAACTACAGTTCGAGGATGGCCCTATCTGTTCGATTGGCGACTTGACTTGGGCTTGACAACCCCTCGTCTTCTAACCGCATCTCAATGAGATGACGGCAACAACGAGACTCGTAGCCTGGCAAGCTCAGTCTCGGATAGGACCTGGGTCTGCTTTCAGACTCTCGTCTACCGGCGATGTCTTTCTTGACTGGGAGATGTCCCGGTTTGGGCTTGAGGGATTTCGTGTGTTCTCAAGGCGGGTGCAGTTGTGGCATTGCGGGCATCGGCGATCGGCAGCCGTGTCTCGACGTGCATTGCTGTATCTGGTAAGGGAACTCACGGGGCGCGCAGTCTGACAAACTCGCGCTCGGTCCTTGGATGCAAAATACTTCATCTCACGCGCGGTGACGATCGCAAGAGTGTGCATGGTGTGCTTTGGAATTCATCGGACAAGGGAGAGGAACGAGCAGATCCCATTCGGGACTGGTCCGCTCACTTCTTCTCTTCATTTGGGAATCCGGGGGAAAAAACGGCTACCGTCAGACGAGCCCAGCGTCTGGCGGAAACAAGTCTCGGTCTGACTATCCGAGACGGGGCGGAAATTGACGTGTGAATGCAGTCGGCAATGCATTCACATGGAAATTGAAACTCCCGCAAGTTGTTTTTTGGACTTGTCTCCCTGTCAGCTTGCGCCGACCAGGAGATGGGTCCTTTTTTTGCGTGAAGAAACTGATTCTAACCCTAACCCCATCCATGGTGGACCACACCGGCGCGGGAACTCTCGGGGTTTGTTGATGCGGGTGGCTGTGCTCCCAATGCAGCTCTCTCCGCCGGCGCTCATGTTTTTCTCCACACTTCCTCTGCTAAATGTTCTGCTTAATCTCGGGCAACTTCTCATGCGGTGCTCACTTGCCCTTCTCTTCCTTCTGTGCCAGAGTGTGGAAAGCAGGTACACACAGCAACTCGAAACACTTACGTAACCATGGGCCTTGGCGCCAAGCTATGAGCACGACGTGCGCGACCTTGGCATTGACAGGGGACTCATGAAAATGGCAGGCAGCGTGCGGATTGAGGTGTTGTAGACGGGTCGGAGAACGTTGAGAGAGGCTCTGGGACAACTAGTAGGACCTTCGGCGGGGAGGATCGTCCTTGCGAGCGTCAGTATCGGATCCACTGGAGGCAACTATTGTCTTGGACGTTAACATCGCATGTCTTTACCCGCTTGTGTGACAACTGAAGGGCTGGCTGGGCACGTAAGAAAGACTTGAATATCGACCGTCTCTTCCCTTTTACCTCATCATCTCTCTCCGGTACAGAGTCTCCTCCCCTCCCCCTCCCCCTCCAGCTACGATGCGCTCTCTTTCCGCAGCGGCTGCGTTCTCTGTCGCCCTCCACCTCCGTGCCGTGCATGCATGTAAGTACCCACTTCCTGTGCCTTGCTGTGGCATCTGACCCTCTACAGCCTGCTCCGGCACCGACTTCCCCGCTGGCCAAGCTGCGCTCAGCTCGGGCGCCCTTCCTCCGACCTTCACCCCTGTCCTGCGTATCTTGCCCTCCGACACGGACGGCCAGAACCTGTACGCTTCGTTCAAGGATAGCATCCCCAACATCGCCGTCCGCGGTAAAGACGGTGTCCCTGACCCCGCGGTGGCCGCTGCATATGACCCCAGCGACCCTGACTGCTGGTGGAGCTACACCAAGTGTACGCAGCCGAAGATCGCAGGCCTTGAGCCCGATGTGGGTATCGTACCCGAGGTAAGTCGGTTTTTCTTGTATCTGGGGTTGCCCTGATGGGATATCATGCTCTTAGCCGCAAACGATGGGTTACGGATTTGACGACGGACCAGCATGCCAGCATGAGGCGTTCCTCGACTTCATGGACACAAAGAAGCAGAAAGCCAGTATGTGTCTTGCTACGCTCGTGTGCACTGGCCTGACTGAGCGCGTCCTCTGCAGCTTTCTTTTACATTGGCTCGAATGTCATCTCGATGCCACTCGAGGCCCAGCGTGCTGCCACAGACGGTCACGAAATCTGTGTTCGTACGTAGCCCATACAGATTTCCCTTTCACATGCGCGGCTGAAGTCGATATGTGTAGACGGCTGGTCGCACCACCCCATGACTTCGTTCGACAACGAAGCGGCTTTTTCGGAGCTGTACTATACCATGAAGGCCATCAAACTCGTTACCGGATATACCCCCAAGTGCTGGCGCGTACGTGTGTTTGTTTCATGAGACTTATTTGCTTGCTGAGGAACTCGCAGCCACCCACTGGTGACGTCGATGACCGAATCCGGTTCATCGCTCAAAAGCTCGGCCTGACCAATGTGCTCTGGGAGTACGACGCCAACGACTGGCGCTTTGGCGACGGCTCCCTCACGGCGGATAAGATCCGAGGCAACTACGACGCATTCATCGCAGATGCCAGCGCCGGCAAGTTTGCTCAGGTGCGGGATGTCTATCAAAACGTGTCTTTTGTGATACTGAGGACGGAGCTTCACAATAGCGAGGCACGATCATCCTAACGCACGAACTGGACAACTTCACGATGCAGACCGCCGTGGACTACCATCCCAAACTTAGCGCTGTCTTCAAGGTCAGTTTGGGCTTCCCTACGTATCAAAGACATGCCAAAGCTCATCCCCCTCTTCCAGCACATTGTGCCCATTGCCGTCGCGCTGAACCGCACCAACCCTTATGTGGAGACGACCGTGACTATGCCGACCTTCGATCAATGTGGGCTGCACGTCGTGGTTTTCCTTTCATTTGAAGCTGACCGTGTGCTTCCTAGTGATCGGTGCTGCTGGACCGTCGACGCCATCGACGAGCTCTGCTGCATCCAGTTCCGCACCCAATCCGAGCTCACCCATCTCGAGCGTATCGTCGCAGAAAGCCGCACCCGCTGGGTCGAAGTCGAGCAGTGCCCCAGCCTCGACGTCTTCCACGGCCTCGACGCTGAGCGCGAGCTCCAACGCTCAATCTGGCGCCTCTCGCACGGCCATGAGGTCGTCAGCATTGTTCGTGGGCGGATTGCTGTTAGCGGGCGCCTGGTGTCTGTGATTGATTTGCTGTGTGATGCTGAGTTAGAGAGCGTTTGCTCCTACGGACTATCCGCTTGTTGGTTCTATCTGCTGTTCAGGCTATAATTGTGTAGTCGTCGAGTGCTACTTACTCTCGTTTGAATTCCAACTTTCTTTTCGGTTCTTATCTCTCTGCCTTGCCGTTTGCAGGCACAAGATCTCAGGCGTTAATGAGAACACACAGAAATGGATGTGTCATGTATATGACATGAGCTTGTGCACTTCAGCAGCATGGCGCAGTCTGGGAGCGCGCGGGGCCCATAACCCCGAAGTCACTCGATCGAAACGAGTTGCTGCTAGCAACGAGTGCAGAGATGTTCTTTTTTGTCTGCTCTCTGCGAGAGTGTGACTCATCTGTGATGCTCAGCCTAGTAGTGATGGCTGATGACATTTTGCCGTCTTCCTCACAATCATGCCACCACCAGACTCTGACAAGGCCCCAAAGCCTCGCAACCTGCGCGACTACCACCGGCCTCCGAGGATAAAGCTGGGTGCGGTAGGCAGTCGCATCCCCGCACTCAGTGCCGAGTCAAAGCGGTCCGTCCAAGGTCTTACACGAAACAGCGCATGTGCTCACTCGTTAGCTCCCGGCAAGATGTCTGCGGAACCTTTCAGCGTACAAGGCACCGCCGGAGCGGATACCCTTTCCGCGTACACGGTGTGCGGCTGTGTTAGTCGCGTTGTTTGTCGGGAGGAGGGGGGATCTACATGTCTTGCTGAGCCGGTGCGTGTGTCGATGCCGCTGAAGGCGCATTTACATAGGAACGTCACAGGCGCTCCTCGACGCTGAGATCGTACGCCGGAGATACCGCGCTGCCCGGTGGGAAGGTCGATCCGGATGATGGGTCATTGGAGGATGCCGCGGTAAGCGATCCCTCTCTTCGTCGGATAAGGAAACCTCAGTCTCGAAGCGCAGGGAGGCATTTGAGGAGGTATGCGTGCAGTGGAATGATGAAGGGCAGGTTTCTGAACGTCTGCCCGTGTATGTGTCAGATTGGCCTTCCAGCGGACAAACTCAAGGTCCCATTACTATGCATTCTGAGTCCCGTCGTCGCCTCCAATTACCTCGTCGTCACACCGTGCGTCCGAGGGCATTCCCTCAAATATGGTTCACACTGATATGCAGACCAGTGTGGTCGTTCTCATCCTTGACAACACTCTGCGTGTACGTGTCTTCTGCCAACTCGTTTATCTGACAGTATTCAGCCATCTCCAGCCGATCCTCAACACCGCAGAAGTCGCATCCCTCTTCTCGCATCCTCTGGCCTCTTTCCTGTCCTCTTCCCCGCCGTTTTCTACCGAGCCAGAGCTTGTCGAAGTCCCGTACCACACCACCAGTGATTGGCGCTACCCCGGGCCAAATGGCCAGATGTACTTCTCCCGTGGGCACCGGTTTCTGACCGGTCGCGAGGCCGGTGGGATCAAGCCCGTGTTCGGGCTCACTGCGTATGTGCCCTACTGTTACTGTCTCACGAGAGTCACCGGGGGCTGATATGTTGCAAACCCGCTAGCGCGATTCTAATCGACGCTGCATGCATCGCTCATCGACGTGTGCCAGAGTTCGAGCTCACGCATCCGGAGGGGATGACGCGTGAGGCCCGGCTGGCGTGGATTGTCTACAGCCAGCCGGCCTTCCGGACGGCGTATGAGGTGGAGGGCATTGAGGTCGATTGGGAGCAGATCCGGAGGCTGGCAGGCGTGGTTGATGACCGGGGAGATATTGATCGGAAGGGGGACGAGAAGAAGGATACTCTTTCAAAACAGCGGAGGAGGATTCCAAAAAACAAAAGTAAGCTCTAGTCGTGCAACGCCCGAGTCAATGTCGTATCTGCACAGTGCTTCATCTGTGCATCTGTGCTATGGTGCAGGGCCGAGCCTTACATATGGGAAGGAATCTTCAGATCAATAATCGTCGGAGATTTGCGAGAACCTCCGAACTAGATGAGGATGAGTATTGAAATCAATGCTTGGGAACCCACCACGAAGGCTCGGAGCAGACGCACGTGGCGGATCAGATTTTCATCGGGAAAACCGAAGCTTGTGTTAAGATGAAGTGTAGACATGAATTCACTTCCATTTATACAGGATACAACAGAGCAAAGCTAATAGGTGGATATGTACAGGTATCAATGAGGAATTACAACACTTTGCAGCGTGCGGTTGTGCGTGTGAGTAAGAGACATAACATGGAGCGCCTGACGGCGGATATAATAGGTGATGCGGTAAGATACATTTGAACGAGGAGCGCGGAGTTGAGGACAATTCAGCCGCTCATGACAGGTCATACGCCACGATGTGCCGCATGATAAGCAGCGAGGCGAGTATCTCTGAACACAAGACGATGAGTACTGGTCTGTATGTGATCGGTATCACCTCCATGCAAGGCCACTCACCCACGGCCAGTCCACCGAATTGTTCGGCAATTTCCAGAATACAGCCAGACGAAGTCGTGTAGTCCGGCTCGCCTGGGGACTTTAGGCTGTACGACGCAATGACATATCCGTTCAGGTCCGTGCACTGAGTGAGGAGGAGAAGAGTGAAAACATGTATGAGCAAACTGGCGGAGGTAGACGCATGATGCAATGAAGGGTTGCGTACCGTCCATTCCTGATTCACATGGGTCTTCCTAGCCCATTGGTACACCTGCCCGTCTGAAGCGAGAAAGCGGCGAACGCGGTGCCCGCCACTATGGATCCTGCTGCAGAGTCAGCACGCCATTGAGCAACCTCTCGCTGGCATACCCGAACGAGATGACTTTGTTCTCTGGCCTGACGAGGTATTTGCGCATCGGCACCCCCTCCGATGAGTAACTGATCGTCCCCAACGCGTGCTCGCGCCCGAAGTCCAGCCCCGCGACGGGGAGGGGAATCGCCACGCGCCCCGGGTTGGAGCTGTGGTGGGAGTTGTAGATCATATATGCGGTGTGTTGAGTGTCTTTTGCCGTGCACCGGACACGGAAGTGCATCCGCTCGTTGATGTCGATGAATTCAGACCCGGTGAGACTGCCCGTCGTGTCTTCGAGGATGTAGGGCATGCCGTAGCGCGTGGATGGCATCGTGGACAGATTGAAGGGTAAGCAAGCACAGAGAGGTGAGGCGTCTTCATCTGAATGGTATTCCGAGCAGCTTTATCAACGAGGTGTCGAGGGAAGATGGATGAAAGAGGAAGGTGCGACGGTTCACTAATGTGAAACGACGTCAAGATGCCGCTTCCGATTGCCGATGACTTAGTTTGATTATCGATCCGGCATTTGCCTGCCGACAGGTCAAATGGTTGCCTCACAAGCAGCCCATGACGCAGAGATTCAGGGCCCTGACATCTACTCAAACAAAATGCGAGTGCGTCGCATCGCCGTGCTAGTTATTGCGTTTTTCGCGCTCATTCGGAATGCCTAAACCTCCCCGATGGGTTCCGGGATCGATAGGACTCGTGTGCGCAGTTGATCGCAGGAGCCTTTATGATCTGCATGCAGCCTTGAGGCCGGCGACGCTCGCGCGCTCTCTCAGAGGTTTTTCAAGGTTTGACGGTGCCACGCGTCGCTCAAGTTATCGATTCCTCCTTCCGCTTACCCGAGGATTATTGGTGATCCGGGCGTGCTCGTCCAATGAACACTCAGATCCCGCTGTTCTTCGGCTTCAAATTTTGGCTCCCACACACGAATCGGAAATTCCCGAGCCTTGCATACAGACTGCAGCAAGGATCAAACGCACATGTTACTTCCAATCTCCACAATGATCGGGCAATTACACATGCGCGTTGACTTGATGCTTGACATGTGAAATGATGACGTCGATGAACAACTTGCCAGGGAAGCAATACGGAAATTCTACTCTATTAGCCCTCAAACAAATTGACATAAACTTTATATACATGAAGTTGCTTGCCTGCCCTCTTGATCAGTTCTGCTTCTGTTAATATCTCATGCACTCATGGCTTTTGAGCCTTAGTATACTTGGAGAAAGCTCAACAATGTTGGCCTGGGAGCAAGGTGAATCTGAGTGAAGTTTGTATTAGTATCAAAAATAACTCAAATTGCTTTCAGGAAAACAGACACTTCCAGAAGTAATATCCAGCTGACAAACACCCTGGTACATATAATAATAATTGCATAATATAAGAACTGCTTGCAAGTGTTTATGTCAGGGGAATGCCCGCTTCAGATTGATCAGCCTGGGATCTGGCATGTGATCGCGCTCGTGTGACTTGTCAGCTGTCATGCGCAGCGGCCTGGACCGCCGCGCCAAGTGCTTCTCTTTGATGGCAGGTGGTGCCATGGTTCCTATTGTCTCCGTTTCCTATTGTTCTGTTATGGCCATTGTACTTATCATTTCTATTGTTCTTGTTTGTTGCTGCATAGTCTATTGTTCCTGTATCATATAAATAGTGGTGCCTGGCAAGGAGAATCCCCAACACGGTTTCTTTTTGGATTCTCCCTTGCCAGGTATGCCGGTCTTGTACCTAGCTACCACTGTTATTCACTTTGGATTCTCCTCTGCCAGAACTCTGAGATCAGGTTTCAAGGTTGCCCTTACACAATACAGGAGACTGGCAAACCTGACAAGGGAGAGTCTAAAGAGAAACTGAGTTGGGGACTCTTCTTGTCAGGGCCCACTATATATAGCCTAAAGAACAATGGATGACCAAGCACAATGGGAAGCACCAGACAATGGGGCAAGGGAATAATAAGGGGCCGGATCAGGGAGAACAATGTGAGCCAGACCGTTGGAACAATGGGGGCCGAGGTCTGAGGGTCATGAGGGCGTGCTTGGCAGGGAAGTCTGGGCCAAAGCATGTGACGCTTGACAGATGGCATGTGCGTGGTCACATGGAAGATCCCATGATGATCAGACAAAAGCAGGCATTCCTCTGACAAGTACTTCTGGAAGCTGCAGAAACCCAATTGACGCAAGCACAATGGATCATGGAGTTGGCAGAGTTTGATTTCACATTACGACACTGGCCAGGCGTGCTCAATTGCAAGGCGGATCTCTTATCCCAATGGGCAGATCATGATGAGGGCAAGAACAACAACAAGGACATCACCTTGGTGAAGCCCGAGTTCTTCCAATCACAAGAAGTCACATTTGAGGAACAGGATCAGCAATTGATCAATGAAATCAAAGCTGTTTGATTGACCAATGGAAGTGTTAAGACAGTGAAATGCTGAGGGCATGCTTGCAGTGGAATCTACTATGAAAGGAAATCTAAATATAAACACATTCACACTCCTCATAATCAGCTTCTCAGTGTGTGAAAGATGAGAGGGCTTCGAGGTGGACAGAATACCAAGGTCACAATGTCGCAGACAATACCGCACAGTGGAGATACGACCAGTAGCGATCACCTATAGAGACAGAGTCTCAGCGAGTGTAGAAGACACAGAGCTGACATTAGCAGTACCTATAGAGACAGAGTCTAGGTACAAGTCATGAGTATGAGTCGTAAGAGATCATAAGAGAGTATGCATACCTCAGCGAGTGTAGAAGACACAGAGCTGAGGATATGGAGTGTATAGTACTAGGTTTATATACCAGTCTGGAGCAGATATCATGATGTCATAGTGGAGTAGTGATATCATAGATGATTAATGGATGACGCAATAATGAGGTCAGGTATGAGGTCATTGTGGAGCGAGCCAAAGTAATCTAAAGATACTACATATGATGTCATGTCTACATACTGTGATAGTCGCTAATACAAACAAGCTTCAACACTCCCACTCGACTAAACAGTCGGATCATGAAGACCCAAAGACAGCCGATGTTGTTGGAACTTCACCCATGCCAAAGACTTTGTGAGCGTGTCGGAGATCATTGCATCAGTCAGCACATGGTAAAGTTGGACATTGCCAGCTTCGACGGATTCTCGTACGAAGTGATAGCGGATGTCGATGTGCTTCGTCCTCCTATCATGAACCGGATTTACTGCCATAAAGATAGCGCCTTGGTTATCAACACAAAGAGGCGTGGATGGCAAGTCATATCCGAGCTCAGTCAACAAAGTGCGGATCCAGGCAATCTGGCGCGTAGCATCGCTCAGAGCCATGTATTTGGCCTCTGTTGAGGACAAAGCGACCGTGGGTTGGCGTCTAGAAACCCAGGTCACTGCACAACCGGCGATGAAGAAGGAATATCCCGTGGTTGAATGCCTGTCGTCTTTGTTCTCCGCCCAATCAGCATCGGAATAACCGATAAGGCCTGCGCCAGTGGAACCATCATAGCAAAGTTGGTAGTTTTTGGTGCCCTGAAGGTACCGGAGTATGTATTTTGCCATGTTCCAATGATGTTCTGACGGGTTGCTGTTGAACTTTGATAGACGGATGACTGCATAGGCAATGTCGGGGCGAGTACCAAGCATGGCGTATAGAAGGCTGCCAATCAGTTGCTGGTATCGGGTACAACGGTCTTCATCAACTTCTCCATCATGCTTCTCGAGCACGATGCCGGAAGGCAGGGGAGTACAAGCTTCTTTGCAAGAAGACATCCGGAATCATTCTAGAACTCCCTCGATATAAGAAGTCTGATTGATCCAGATTTTACGCGCTTTGCAATCACGAACTATGTTCAGACCGAGGAAATCCTTCGCAGGACCAAGATCTGTCATTTTGAAGCGGTTCGCAAGCATTGATTTGATCCGCGCTATCTCCGGCAGATTGTTGCCCATAATGAGCATATCGTCAACATACAGCACCAAGATGATGACCGTATCTCCCATTTGTTGGCGATATGTGTAGACACCGGCGTCGGAGTATGTCCGAGCAAAACCAAGTTCGAGGAGGGCATTGTGGATTTTGATATTCCACTGACGAGACACCTGTTTCAACCCATAGAGTGATTTACGAAGGCGTGCCACCTTTTCTTTTGGCCATGACGAGAAACCTTTGGGTAATTCCGGAAGTTCCATATAGATTTCTTCCTCCAGATCCCCGTTTAGGAATGCCGTTTTGACATCCATGGCATGAATCTCCCAATCTTCGAGAGCAGCCAGAGCCATAAGTATGCGCAAGGATTCGTAGCGCAATACTGGCGAGAAGGTCTCATCATAGTCAAACCCATGAACCTGAGTAAATCCCTTGGCAACAAGTCGTGCTTTGAAACGACCGTCACGCTTCCTGCTAAACACCCATCTGCATTTGACAGTCTTTCGACCGCGTGGGAGGCTGGTCAAATCCCAAGTACAGTTTTCCTCGAGAGAGTCCAGTTCTTCGCGCATCGCGCGCTCCCACTTGAGTGCATCCGGGCTCTTTGCTACGTCCCGTACGTTTTGAGGCAAGTCATGCTCAGCTTGGGCAGCTGATAACATGGACTCAATGCTGCTAGGCCTCTGATACGTAGTTCCATCTGGCATAATGCGGGGCTTATTCTGACGAGGGCGGCGATGGGCAATTGGGCAATCGTCTATCGGGCCAGGCATTAGGGGTACTTCTCGCGATCCTGTGACAGGACCTTGTTGCGCGAGGGGTGCCGGTGGCGGTGGGAGAGCAGGAGGTGGTATGCTTGCATAAGGCGTTGCAGGCGCAGGATTATTGATAAGGTCAGGGAAGGTTTCCTTGAATGGTGTGAACGGCTCCGGTCCAGAGGACACATTGCCGGTGACTAGCTTGGACTTGGCAGGGAATACTCGCTCATCAAACTCAACATTTGAAGAGACTCGTATCTTGCGTTGATTCGGATCCCACACTTTCCAAGCTTTTGTCTCTCGTTTGTATCCAACGAAGATGTGGTCGGGGCGTCCATGCTCCAACCCTTTCGGGCGTTTTTCAACATCCACATAGAGAGACGCCTTGCATCCAAACACACGGAAATAAGAGACGTCTGGCTTCTTTCCAAGCCACAGTTCCGCAGGTGTTTGCCATCCCAATTGTGCCATAGGTTGTCTATTTTGAACGTGGACAGATGCATCCATAGCACATTGCCAGAAGCCTTTGGATAGGCCGGCATTGAGGCGCATGCATTCCGCTTTCTTGTAGGCTGTGCGATTCCAACGTTCAGACCTCCCATTTTGCTGTGGTTCGCGTGGCGCGGACTTAGGGTGCATAATACCACGTGCATTGAGCCAGGCTCTGAGTTCATTGGACATATATTTGCCTCCACGATCTGACCGGAAGGCCAGTACTTTTGTGCCAAGCTGACGCTCTGTAAGGGCAACAAAGTTTTTAATCGCAGTAGAGGCTTGGTCCTTTGATTTAATGAACACCATCATGCCGAAGCTCGAGAAATCATCGTAGAACGAAATTGTGTAGCGTGAACCTTCCAACGACTGAGTAGGCCAGGGGCCCATCAAATCAGTGTGGATAAGCTCGAGGGGTTTGCTAGCACGTTTCTCTGATGCAGGGTACGGATGCTTGTGCTGTTTTCCAAGCATACATCCATCGCACATGCCGCGCTGGTCTTTATTGCGTCGCAAGGGGGGAACACCTTCAACTTGTGTCGGCAAGTGAGTAAGGGTCCTCCGAGCCGCATGACCAAAACGCTTATGCCACAATTCACGATCGGTAGTTTCCAGGGAAGCGAGCGCGGTAGACTCGTGAGATGCAGACACAGATGGTGCCACGAGCTCCTCGGGGTAGTACCAGTAGCAGCGATTGCTTGCTTTAAAGGTCATCAAGACATCCCCATGCGCTTTTCCCTTGTTGAGCCAATCCTTGGTGACTAGGATTGCCTTGTTGTCACCAACCACGGTGTAGTAACCAGCCTGATTGAGCGCATACCCAGAAAGGTAACGCCCTCTTATGTGCGGGTTGTAGATGACATCCTTCAGCGTGAAGGTGTAGTCCATGCCACTACTAGTATGACCCCGCAACACAATATCTCCAACAGCTTCATTCTTGAAGCGAGCTCCCGACCCAACAATTACATAGGTGTCGATAGGTCTGATGTTGTGAAGATCGGATCGGGTGTTTGTCATATGATGCGTACAACCTGAGTCCCATAGAAAACGAACTTTGGAGTTGTCTCCCATTTCTTCAACAAAAATTCCATCATCGATGTGTTTAAGGGAGTCACTCATGAGATAGGACGAAATGTGCATTCCATTGGAGGCAGCTGCAACCGCGGGAGCGGCTACAACTTCTTTTACAGTGCTAGTACCATCACCGCTCTTCTTTTCCTTCTTCTTTTTCTTCTTCCCCTCATCCTGCTTCCCCTTGCCTTTGTCAGAAGATTGACCAGTCGGCTTGAGGTTGGGATACTTCTTGTAGCAGGATGCTGCAACGTGACCGGACTTGTTGCAATGAGTGCAGCGGGTGGCAAGGGACGGAACGGTGGAAATCTTTGAGTTCGATGTCGTGTCGAGGTTCTCGATCTTGATATTCCCTATGACGCTGTTCTTGACATCGACTGGGTTCAGGGAAGCGATAGGACGATTGGCCAGGTAAGAGGTGACGAAACCTCTGCTGGAAGCGGGCAAAGCGGCGAGCATTAGAGTTGCGAAGAGGTAGTCAGGGATCTCGATTCCTCCTTCCGAACACTGGCGACGATGAGTCTCCATTTCCATGATTTGTTTTTCAATGGTATCACCACCGTGGAAGGTGGTGGTGTTCAGGAGGCGGTACTCGACGAAAGCATCGATGGCATTTGGTTGGCCATAATCCGTCGCCATCTTCGCAAAAACCTTGCGCGCAGTGCGCTCCCGCTGACCGTCCATAAAGATTCCCTTGCGCAGATTCTGGGTGATATAAACCCGCGCAAGACCCAGTGCTTTTTCATTGGCAACGTCCCATTGATATTGGCTGTCACCAGCCGTTCCAGGACGCTCCATAGAACCAGGGTTCGAGGTAGATGTGCCGTTAACCATAATATGAGTGGGTTTAACCACTCCCCAGGTGCCCTGATGCATGCAGATGCTCATGTAGTTGTCCGACCACGTATTCCAATTGGTGCCATCGAAGACACTCAGAATGGAGTTGTTGAGTTTCTCGATTCCCGACATGGTGGGGAGATACTCGATAACGTCGGCGGTTTGGTAATGAAGAAAGGGGAATTTGATATAGGGAGGATCACCAAATAGGGACCGAAGTTCAGGAGTCCAATTGTCCTGATGGTGAAATAGATCTTCGTTGTTGTGTTCACCAAGTTCGTATAGGTCTTCGCAATCGGTGTCTTGAAGGGTAGTGTAAGAAGGTCCCTGAGCCCAACGGACAACAGGAAATAGGATGACCCCAACGGGAGGGTCGTCTGGTGATGACAGGGTGATAGAGATGAAGACTAGAGCGACGAAGTCAGCCCCAGATTCTCTGCAGACCAAGAAACAAATCCCAAGTGCCAAATCTCTGAAACGAGAACGACCAAGTGTCCCCATCCCATCCATGATGCCCATATACGCGCGGGGAATGATAACGAAATAAAGCGGTATAGTAAGTGCCCATATTTGTATCAAGGTAACGTAACTATATACGTCAGCGGCGGTGAAATGCTGAGGGCGTGCTCACAAGTGAATCTACTATGAAAGTAAACCCAAATATAAACACGTTCACACTCCTCGTAATCAGCTTCTCAGTGTGTGAAAGATGCGAGGGCTTCGGGGTGGACAGAGCACCAGTATCACAACTCTCAATAGACACAGATCCAATAGTCGCGGAGACAAAGTCGACGACAAGAATTTATATATAGCAAACAATGGTATCTCAACCAATATCTTCTATACGGACACAACCAACACTAATCCAATCCACAAACAACAATATAACAAGTCAGAACTTAATAAGAAGTATTAAGATCCCTTGTAGCGACAGCGTCTAGATGGTGACGCAAAGCCCAAATATCAAGTCGACGCACTGCCAACTGATACAACCAATATACTGAGTCGACGCACTGCCAACTAGTAGAACCAGAATGTCAAGTCGACGCACTGCCAACTGACACAACCAAAAGTACTGAGTCGACGCACTGCCAACTAGTAAACCAAAATGCCGCGTCGACGCACTGCCAACTAACAGCCAATATCCAATGTCCAAAACCCGAGCACAACTTGTCGACGCACTGCCAAGCTAGAGGTGTGGAACGATCTCAACAAAGCCCGAAGGCAACGACACTAAATGCCGCGACTAAACCAGATGCGGCGAGTCCGACTTTCTGATGTCTCAACTCAAACTCAAATCACAGTAGCTACAAGTGCTCAGGGAGCAACTCGTCGCGACCGGGCAGGGGTAGCAGAACTTCTTAGGGTGGAATCACGCAGCACGCAAATTGTACAAAACAATCTGAAATGAGAGTGATTCACAGTCCGGGGGAAAGCTTCCTAATACAAAGAAACGACGTGCTACTTATACTGGCTACGACGATGCTTAGTAAAGTCCTGTACAACTGCATAGTAGCTACGCTATCTAAGATCAGTTGCCTTTTAGGGTAATTGAAAAGTTGAACGATCGGACAGGTCCTGAGTGATCAGGACCCCGCCCCATTGTCCATATGATACTTTTTGATGTGGGCCAACTCACCGCGTCATACTTTTGGAATACGACGTGCTGGATTAGCCAACGGGTATGTCTTGGCATGTGAGACCAACGTGGGCGCCCCAAGAAGCTGTATGGCCCTAGGCACGCCAGTCGTCCCCCACATGGCTCGGTTCACGGATCTAGCCGTGTCGATTTCTAGTGTGTTTGGGTATGGACGCGACTCGCCGTGACACTCGGAAGTGTCACCGCGACGCGTCCACAATGTCCCGTGATCGAATGGATCCTGACATGTGACGAGTCGTCGTCGTGGCATGATCTGAGGAAACGCCCAACTCAAAACCGGGAGTTGCCGCGACAAGATGGTTTAAGTCTCGTAACGCCAAGTCCTGTCCAGTAGTAGTTGTATTATTGAGAACGTCGCGCAATTGCTCAGCCCTTCAGCCCAAGTTCCCATCTGCAGAGAATGACCCTTTTCGAGAGGTCGACGCAACGACAGATCCCTTTTTGGGGAATGGTCGCGGTCCAAGCGTTTGTCACTAATGGCCCTGAGCCTGGTATAGACTCATAAGACCAATTCCACAGTAGTGGTCTGACTGCCTTGCTATCGTCAACACTATCCACAGTCGTCGACTGGGCAGTAGACCCTTAAGTCCTACTGAGCGCAACACTGTCACCCGCGACACGATACACCGAATGGTTCGAGAGTAAACTTTGTAAAAAGCGCAAAAATACGCCCTTACAGAGCTGGTGCAGAGCGCGTCTGGTAGCCAGCCTATCACCGGCTGCCAACGAACCAGTCCCAATGGAAATCGATCGGACCCATGCCCGCGGACGCAATATCATCTGTTACAACCGTCAGCAGCCAGGGCACATCGCGAGGGCTACAACTTTGGTTTCTCATCACTTTCTTTGTCAGCATCAATCACATGCTCTACTGCCACGTCAAATGGCTCTGTTTTTGATTGCGCATCAATTTTTGATGGTGCCAATGATGCCAGTTCCAATCTCATCTTATCTTTCAGACCTAGATTGACATTTGGTGCTTACTCAATGGTGGTCCCTGATAATCAAATCCCAGAGAAATCTAATCTTGATGTGGCTGTGTGTGATTGGATCAATAATGTGGCACAGCTTCCATTTTAGGTTGCATGTTCAACTTACATAATCTCAATTGAACATATTGGACATGTGACTTCCTTTTGGGGATATTTTGATGCAACTTATAGCAACCCAAAAAGGAAATTTCCCTCAATTTTGCAATAGCACATGCTCATATTGTGGGTTTCTTCTCAGCTCTTTAGGATATATTCTCTTATGTGATTCCTTGCACTTGTGCTCTTCAAAACTTCTACACTGGTGTTTAATGCCTCTATATCCTAATTCTTTCAATGATACCCTACATGACTTTTATTGACAACACATACTTCTCTATGCATATTCCTATTTATTTCTAATGTTTTATGCCTTTCAAGTAATGTGCTGCTGTCCTGGATTACATAGTAGAGCCAGCCATTGCATATATATATGGATAGTAACCATTGCCTACCCATCCTGCTTTACCACATAACCGGCTATTTCTACACCCCCAATTTACATGAGTCATGCCTTCATTGTTACAAAGAAGAGTTATTGAGATTAACATGAACATAGAAACAAAGAATACAGTGAAAGCAATGGTCACAGGTGGGAAATCAAAGTGCCCTTTGTAATGCAGGTATTCTTGCTTCAGTAACTCAAAGCAATGTTTCACTTTATTGTAGCAACCAATTCGAAGATTTTCCGCACTTCATTGATCTGAAAATGAGGCTGTATCTATTTCATTCAGGTGCATCTGGTTTTATATTGCAAGGTGAATAGGGACTCTTTGGATGGGTTTCATGCTCTCTGCAACATTGCAATGAGCTTTCACTGTGATAATCTTCCAGATTATAACATCGATGGCAAGGAAACACAAAAAGACCACATGACATTGAATTAGTGTGTCTCAACATGATTCAGATATTCCACCAATGCAAGTTCGAAAAAAATCGCACTTTTCTGTCTGCCTCTGCAATAGATGTTATAATCTGGAAGATTATCACTGTGAAAGCTCATTGCAATGTTGCAGAGAGCATGAAACCCATCCAAAGAGTCCCTATTCACCTTGCAATATAAAACCAGATGCACCTGAATGAAATAGATACAGCCTCATTTTCAGATCAATGAAGTGCGGAAAATCTTCGAATTGGTTGCTACAATAAAGTGAAACATTGCTTTGAGTTACTGAAGCAAGAATACCTGCATTACAAAGGGCACTTTGATTTCCCACCTGTGACCATTGCTTTCACTGTATTCTTTGTTTCTATGTTCATGTTAATCTCAATAACTCTTCTTTGTAACAATGAAGGCATGACTCATGTAAATTGGGGGTGTAGAAATAGCCGGTTATGTGGTAAAGCAGGATGGGTAGGCAATGGTTACTATCCATATATATATGCAATGGCTGGCTCTACTATGTAATCCAGGACAGCAGCACATTACTTGAAAGGCATAAAACATTAGAAATAAATAGGAATATGCATAGAGAAGTATGTGTTGTCAATAAAAGTCATGTAGGGTATCATTGAAAGAATTAGGATATAGAGGCATTAAACACCAGTGTCGAAGTTTTGAAGAGCACAAGTGCAAGGAATCACATAAGAGAATATATCCTAAAGAGCTGAGAAGAAACCCACAATATGAGCATGTGCTATTGCAAAATTGAGGGAAATTTCCTTTTTGGGTTGCTATAAGTTGCATCAAAATATCCCCAAAAGGAAGTCACATGTCCAATATGTTCAATTGAGATTATGTAAGTTGAACATGCAACCTAAAATGGAAGCTGTGCCACATTATTGATCCAATCACACACAGCCACATCAAGATTAGATTTCTCTGGGATTTGGTTATCAGGGACCACCATTGAGTAAGCACCAAATGTCAATCTAGGTCTGAAAGATAAGATGAGATTGGAACTGGCATCATTGGCACCATCAAAAATTGATGCGCAATCAAAAACAGAGCCATTTGACGTGGCAGTAGAGCATGTGATTGATGCTGACAAAGAAAGTGATGAGAAACCAAAGTTGTAGCCCTCACAAAACTGAACAACTTTCATCTACACACATGGGTGATCAGATCACTGGTTGGAGCGCAGCATCCAAAATGGTTTCCATGATGGGATCACTTCAGAAATGATGTGGATCAAAGTTTTGCACAAAAAATGAGTAAATCTAGCCTGGCAGAATGCTCAAACAATCAGCTAAAACAGCCTAGAAACGGCCCCACAAATGTATTTTTTGCCCCCGGCTGCTAGCTGGGGTCCCACCCACCAGTTGCAGGTACATACCTGCACTCAGGTAGATACCAGACTGGTACATACCACAGTGGTAGCTATGCTGAAAACTGGCCTCTAAGGTGGGTCCCACTTTTGTCATGACGCCCCTTAGAGGCCTAGTTACCCGTCTGACTGTAGTGTACGTCCTGTCCAAGATTACCGGAAGCTCAATGAAATGACAATCCGAAATCGATACCCACTGCCGCTGATCTCCAAACTGGTCCATAATCTATGTGGCGCCAAGTTCTTCACAAAGCTTGACATCCAGTGGGGATACAACGTATGAATCAAAGAAGGCGACGAGTGGGAG